TCTTCCTCTTCTTCTTTTTTCTCCTTCTCCTTCATCTTCTCCTATTTTTTTAATAACCAGAAAACCCTTTTTTTCCGCGCCCCAGGCCCACCCCTCAAGCTCACAGGTACACATCCACAAGCCCATATTTACTGCATGCTGAGCTTTTCCTTGAACGTGAACTTCATCTTTCTGTCTGAAATTACACTGGAAGAGCGGTGTGCACTGACTGCCTTCCATAATGGTTGTCCCTCTCTGGCCTGACTCTAAAACCAATAGAGGTTCTTGCACGCATTTGAAAGGGGGTCGATTATTTTTCATTGGGTTTTCTTCTCCGTGGACCAAGAATGGAACCAAGGCCCATGCTCTCTATCTGGCTCTGGCTCCAAGTGTGTTCCCAAGTACGAAAACCTGCCTTAACCCTCTGGGATAGTTCTCCAAACCCCGTCTCTTGCAACATATACTGAAATGCCTAGAAAAATATAGTGCAAATACAGAAATCATATGCTTTCTAAACTACACCAGGCAAACTACATTGCGTGCGCAGAAATCACCCTGTCTCGGGACCCTTGGTCTGGATAGGTTCTCTGGAAGTGAAGTGTTAAATAATAGAAGTGCTTGTTAAAGTTTCAGTCTAGAGTTTGCCGAAGCACTGAGGCTTACTGACTAGGCCCACGGCCAGGTGGAAGTGTGTGGAGGGCTCTCACGCCTTTCTTCTGTGTTAGACAGGACTATGAAGAGCTAGAGAAGCAGCTGAAGGAAGTCTTTAAGGAACGCAGCACCGTCCTGCGGCAGCTGACAAAGACATCCAGAGAACTGGATGGGATCAAAGTCAACCTCCAGGTGAGCTGGAAGCGAATCTTGTGGGCAGCAAAGGAGTCCAGTCACTCACTGAACAGATATGCATTTTTCAACACTTTTCTCTACATCTCTAGGCTTTACCATCCAGTTAATATTTATTATTATTTGAGCTTTGAACGGAGGTGTCTTTTGAAACTGTCTAGAGTCCTGCAGTTTCCAAACATCAAAAGGGGAAAACTCTGTATAAGCCAAATCCATCAGTTTCTCCCAGCTTCCAAGATCAATTTGACCCCTGTGTTCTTTATATTACAAACTGATGGAGAGGATTAGACCGAGAGTCAGAGAAATAGAATAATGCTTTACAAAGGAGACTGCCATGTTTAAAACAAGACAAAAGCACTGTGTATTCACATAAAAAATCTTCTAAAATATCAGATAGTACTTTATTTTTTGTTCCTGTGAGAGAACTTTTATATTTTATTCAAAATAGATTGCTTTTCATACATTATGGTTTCTCCTCCCCGACTCCTTCAGGTCCCCCCCCACCTCCACTCCCATCAGGACCTAGCCCATTTCTGCCTCTTATGAGAAAACAAGCAACATCTAAGGGCTATTAATAAAATAAAAATAATAAGATAAAACAAAACCAATTAGAATAAGATCAAAGCAACTAAGTAGAAGGAAAAGAGCCAAAGACAAAAACACAATAAATGCATGTAGACATAGATACACACATGTTACATGTTCCTACTTCAAGACTCCCATAAAAACACAAAACCAGAAAACAAGTGCTCTCTCTCTCTCTCTCTCTCTCTCTCTCTCTCTCACACACACACACACACACACACACACACACACAAAGGACTTGTAAGGCAAATAACTTTATAAGACACATTATGAGACAAAGAACGGCATTCACTGAGTATCTACTGTATACTAAATTCTCTGGCGACATTGCATGGCATAATTCTTTTAAACAAATAGAGTATCATTTCCTATGATACTTTTATTGTGACTTTTCTTTTCTTATTATGTATACTGATTAAAGAACTAGTTCTGAAAGTCATAAAGACTCTACAGTTTAAACCTGAGCTAGTTTGCTCCAAAGCCTTTCCGCACATCACTGAGCTGAGGCTGTACGTTACATTGGTCCATGTTTTATCTGTCACACTGACGCCATGCTGGCATTGTAGGAAAGATGATGGTGGCGGTGAAGTCCACCAACAAAGCATTGAATTTGGTCCAGCTCATGTGTTGGATTATCTTTCCATCGCTCCTCTTTAATTTTCACACGAACGCCTTATTGAAGTTACTAACCTTTTATACTGCAAATAGAAAGTTTAGAAAGAGCGCACAGGTAAGTAACGAGTGCCACCAGCACTGGAATGTACTGTTTAGGCTCTTGTTGCAGAAGTTGTGCTATGCATTGAAAGACCAACCCCACCTGACAGCAGCTGGTCAGGAAGAGCATGAGGAAAAGCGCTGTGTGTCTGGGCATCAAATTCTAAAAAAAAAAAAAAAAAGCAAAGAGGAGGATTCAGGAGGCTGCAAATTGATCCTGCTTTATTTGGGAAAGACAAGGCAGAGAGTACAGAGAGGAAAATTAACAGGTAAACAAGCCTGAGAGGAATATTCAAGACATCTGCCTGTCCACGGGGGAATGGAGCTCCTGGCACAGGAGCTTGTCCTCAGCATATGGCAAGATGCCCTGGAGAGATCAGTGATTACTGTGGTCCCAGGACACTCATGTTCCCTCAGTGAAGGTGTCTCCTCACACAATAGAACGTTGCTTAAGAAAATTTTTCATGCAGCTTTATTTTTGAAACAGGAAAAAAAATTCCCCTGAAATGTTACAACTTTGATTTGAAAATGACTTTTTGTTTTCTGGCACCTGCTATACAAAATGTTTTTTCACTGTTTAACCCTAATGAAATCTCTCAGCAAACGCCCCACGAACTTAGCATGCTGTTATGTTCACTATAAGATGAGGAGTGAAGACTTAAGTAGCTCACAAGATGTGGGGAAGTCATTCACAGGAAAAAAGGTGAGATCAGATTTCTAATTTAAAGTAAATACATATACAACTTTGTGTATGTGACTTTTCCTGACAAAACATGAATAAAATGACCATTCATCCCCAGTAGGAAACTGGGAACTAGCAGCACACACAGAAACTATCCCACCTAAGCTTGGCTTGGTGAACTGATGAGTTTACTTGGCGTTAATGAGGGGTGTGTGGGTGAGCAGAGGCATAGACCACACGTGGATACCCATTCTCACCCACTGTGAGCGACTCCTGCTGGGTGGCCATGTTTTGTTTGTCTCAAGACAGGCTCTACATTTCAAGCTGGCCTTGAGCTTGCTATGTAGTCAGTGAGAAACATATACATCTGATATCCATGCCTCCTTGGTGTTGGGATTACCCAGGCCTCCTACCGTGCCCATTTCTGTATATAGTACTGGAGTCCAGAACCTGGAGGTCTCCACATGCTAGGCAAGCACTCTATCAGCTGCATTGAAAAACCTGTCCTGTCTTTAATAGGGTGATGTTATTAGACCCAATTTTGGGTAAACCGGTTAAAAGTAATCACAGTCACTCTGATTTCAAGATGACTGGCATGTTCTGTCCAGAGGACAGAGCTCCTCAATACACCAAACACGACTTCCTTATCTATTTATTTATCTATTTTACTTTTTAAAACTTTTCTTTTTGTTCTTTTTAGCTTCTTCTTTATTTCTTAAAAGTATTTGTTTGTTAGTCTGTTTTAATTTCGTGTGAATGAATGTTTTGCCTGCACATACACCTGTGTACCATGTGCGTGCAATACCTGTAAAGGCCAGAAGAAAGTTCTAGATGCCCTGAAAATGGAGTTTCAGATAGTTCTTAGCCTCCATGTGGGTGCTTGAGATCAAACCCAATTTAATTCCTCAAACTGCCCTCTTTGTGTTTTAGAAGAAGCTGATTTTCCTAAATCCATAGAGTGTCACTTACTTGATATTTCCTAAAGGGACTCTCCGTTAATCCTTGCCAGCGCCTAGGTATCTCCTGGGGAGCTAATGCTGTGTTTGAGTTCTTTATTGAACACCGGGCTCAAACTATCCAGGCAGCACCATGCTTTACAAAGTCTTTGCATGATTCAGGATAGGTGTCGTTAAATAAACATTAAGAAATAATACCCTCATGGCTAGACCGCTGTCATTTCCCTACATTCACAGCCTCGCTGTAGAAACGGTTATTGCTATTTAAACTTTTAATATCAAGTATGACAGGTTACTCTATTAAACAGTTTACCGAGCATGAATAAGGAAGTTATTAAGGAAGTTTTATTTGACAGATTTGTATAAGAAGAGCTTCTGGAGCTTTTCTCTTCTAATTGATGCCCTCTAAATCCTGGATTTGCAACTATATAAGTAATAATGACCAGAGTGGCATATATTATTTTCATAATGTCTATGTACAGTGACAAGGCATAAAAGTACCTGGTCTTCTGACTTTCCGCATCCTGATACATTACTTAGAAACAGGACACAGATATGAATGAACAAGCATGTGCCTTTGACTGCATTCAACTTCAATTAGGTTACTCCCTTACCTATGCAGGTCAGCTTTCTGTAAGCCTTCCCATTTGCTGGAACTATACAAGAGCTAATCTAAAATAGCAGCTGAGCTGAGGACAGGTTTTAAAGGAAGTAGGGAAGGTTTTTTTTTTTTTTAAATGTATTTATAAAGAGACTGGAAAGCCCATGAGATGGCTCAGTGGGGGGAGGTGCTTGCCACGATAGCCCCGTTGCTGGAGTTTTATGTTAGAGACATATGTAAATCTGAATCCACAAATCTATCCTCTGCCCTATCCACCTGCATGATGACATGTTTGACAACACATACACCACACACACACACACACACACACACACACACACACACACACACACCAAAAATTTAAAAAATAAAAGGTTACGACTTTTAAAAAGAAAATTAGGTATTTGCAGGATATTTCTCTTTTCTCCAACATTGGATGAATATGATTGGTGAGCTTCAACCGAAAGCTGTTCATGTACTAAGAGTTGAACATGTCCTTCTGTGTCTCTTCAATGCCTATGTATGTCCCAGGCATCATCAGTAGCTGGGGGAGGGGTGGGACCAATTTTAATATCTTTGTTCAATAAACAAAGGTCCTTAAAACTTGGTACTAAATATACACAATAGAGTGAATGACAGCGCTTTATCTAAATAAGACCCCTTTCCCTCATTTCTCCCTCAGTCTTTGAAAAATGACGAGCAATCTTCCAAAATGGATGTCCAGAAGCTTCTGGAGTTAGGCCAGAAACAGAGGTAAGACTGGAGTTCTATGTCCCTTTCTATTCTTCCTTTTTTCTTTTGGTGTAAGACCTCCTCCTCACCCTGGTTTTTGCAATGCTATTAAAATACAGCCAGGGAGTCTCTTCAAATCGATCCGCTATAATGTGTGAACTTAACCTCTTGAGTGCACGTTATGTATATGCCGTTTACCCAAGACTTCATGTCAACGTGTTTCTGGATGGGACTTGAGAGTCTGCATTCCAGGGAGGGACTTGGTAAAGGGGCTATGCTCAGAGCAGTTAAGTGAACTGCTAAAACCTGTATCCTTGGGATTTGAAAACTTTTCAATGGTCAAATTCAATGTCCACATCATTCCATGCTGGCAAAACATGCTGTTCAAAAATATTACACATATCACGTAACAAGTAACAGGTGAGGAGTTGATTATCAGTCTTGTCATGAGCCTGGGTCTCCACTGCTGACATTTGTATTGACATTGACATTGATATGTTTTCAGGTCAGGTCACTAATGCGTTTAAAATATCAGTGACATGCACTACTCTTCACTGTTTACAATGATGAGATTTTGTTTTTAGTTATTAGATACCAGTGTTAAAGTAATTTGATATCTCTTTACTTGTTGTCTGATGGGAGATGCCATTCTGTAAAGATGTTTCTCGCATTGGTTAATGAATAAAGCACTGTTGGCCAATAGGAAAGCAAGATGGGCCCGACTAGAAGACAAGGAGGAGTCAGGGAGAGGTAGGAGGAGATTCAACATGTAGGACTCGAGAAAACAGAGGTCCAGATCCTCTCTCCAGTAAGATAGACCACGTGGAAATACTTAGATTAATAGAAATGGGTTAATATTTAAGACAGAGGTAGCCAATAAGAAACACTAGTAACAGGCTAACAGCTTTATATCAACTACAGTGTCTCTTTGTGTTATTTGGCACGGCTGTTGGACCAGGCTGGCAGGAAAACAATTCATAACAGTTGTCTTTTTCGTGACTTATATTAGCAATACCAGTGAGCTACAGGCATGGCAGCCCCTTAGCCACCTACTGTCTAGTTGATGTTTAAGCCAGTTTGTTTTGTTTTGTTTTCCTTCTGTTTGTTTTAGGTTCCTCACCTGCAAAGCAAAGCTAATTACACAATAATTGTAAAAGAAAAGAGAAAAAAAGAAAAAGAAAAGAGAGAAAAAGATAAAAAAAAAGCACATTTGAAGGAATCTAAAAATATTGACCTCTTATAAGTGGGAGTTTAATAGTGTCCCCTTTCTACTGGGGTATTCACAGGGTAGGGGTTGGTAGAAATTGTTATACAAGATTTCAGTTAAAAAGGAGGAGTTTGGGGTATCTATTGAACAACACTGTAACAATTTGACAATGTATTTTTTTTCTAGAAAAAACATATGTATGTACTGAAGGAGTAATTATCAGCTAAAATAAACTGAGATTTGTGGAAATTACTTTTTAACAAATGATTCCATATCAATTAAAACAAAGGAATGAAAAGATGTATAGAAGAAACCCAAAGATAATATCTGCATGACTCAAGGCACTTGTCAGTGATTAAGGAAGCTGGAAGGACTGGGTCTGAAACAAAATTTTCTAGGGGGTCTCGCAAAGTGCATGGACCTCAGTGTCAAACACTGTGACCTCATTGTGGGTAGCTCTGCAGTGAGTGCAGTCGTTAATTCAGAAGAATGTTATGCCAACTCTGTTTAAAGTGATAAGGAGACATAGAGAGCTGGGAACCCATGGCCTCAAGAGGGAAGACTAGGTAAAGAAGATACATTTTTGTTAGAGTCAAATGAACATACACGCACACACGCACACACACACACACACACACACACACACACACACACACACACACACGTCATACACATCATCTCTCATGCATATTCACTGCATTATTGTGACTTGTTCACTCCAATAACCCTTACACTAAGAACTTGTCTTGACTTACATTGTGCATAGGAGAACAATGTAGTATTTGCCTTTCTCTACCCCCTATCAGAACAAGACATAATCCATGCATATTTATGATCTTGGGAAATAATATCCATGCATTTATAGTCACTTATTTTCTTTCCTCTTCCCCTTAAGCTATAATTAGAACTAAATCTCTTTTCCTTGTGTTTTCACAAAAAAAAAAATTCTCAGGCCCTAAAGTTTATCAAAGACACAATAAATAAATAATTAAGAAATTATGAAGATCAGAAGGTCACAATAATTTCTTTTGGAAGGCTATAATGTCTTTTGACCAAGCCTGTTCACGCCCTACGTGCTGTCAGTGAAATTCGCTTTCCAACTCGAATTGGTATATTGAGTTGATTGAACATGCTTCATTGTTCAGTGATTCACATTGTGAGATTCTTATAAAACATAATAACAAGGCAATTTCCCTTAACTATAACCTACGTTATGCATGTGCATGAAAAGAAAGCCCTTTGTTATCAGTGTTTTTAGATGCATCCTTTTGTATTGCTGTAGCTTTTCATAATTATAGTTAGCTTCTCCTTAGCTTTAGATGGATAGACAAACTTCTTTTTGTGAAGTTCATGGAAAATAGTGGAGTCATGTGATATCTCTTCTTTGTTCTTTTCTCTCCTAACCTAGGGAAGAAATGAAGTCTCTCCAGGAGGCCCTGCAGAATCAGCTTAGAGAGACATCTGAGAAAGCGGAGAAACATCAGGCCACAGTGAGTGTGTTTGTGTTTCTTCTCTGTGGATTAGCTTTGGGACTGAGAAGTCATTCCCTCCTTTTCTCACATCAGCGGTGGAGAATACACTATAAAAAGTAAAAGTGAAGTCACTACAACCATCATTTTAACCAGTATAATACTTTGCCACAATTTACTATAAGAAAAAAGATGAATGTTGTGTTCAATTTGGAGGTCTTCTAGCTCTTCCTATTTATTCCGTATGAAGGATGAACCAATAGGTAGGCTAGGCGGGGAACTGGCTCAGGCTCACATTAGTGGCTCCTGGATGGGCGGAAATTTAACTGAAAGCCGGGTAACCTGTGCAGATTCTTAAGCTGTCCCAGACTGCCACAGCATGGGAATCACTCAGGGTCAGGACTGTCCTATCTGCAGAAGGACTCATAGGGTAAGACCTACACTTTAAGGGTCCAACTGCTCTCCAGATCATTCCAAGATAATGCCCTTTTGACACTGACACTTTGGCTCTCATCACTGGTCGGCAGCAGAGACTGGAAAATTGGCTCCTGAAGCAATGTGGGGATATACTTGTCCACTTCAGTTCGCAGGCTCACTTTGTGTACCGCTTACAAAGATAAGACTATATAGTACCTAGTGCCTGAATCTGCCTTTAAAATATAATATATGGCACCGTAGAAAATTTGTCTGCTAGAGATTAAGAGATTTGAATGCATTACTGAGAAGAGGGACCGTATGTTATGCCCAGGGCCCACTTGGGGGAGGCTAGAGCTGGCCACCAGAGGGAACTGGACCCCGTTGTGACTTCCGAAGCGCATTGCTGAGACAGCTGACACTAAGGATGGGCAGTGTGAACCGCTGCAGTGCCCTCGAGACACAGGACCTGCCCCTCGGTGTGCGTGTCTGCCCCCAAGGCCACTGGGGCATGTCTAAAGTGCCTTGGAGTAGCAGTAGAGTGTGTTACTCTTGATCTGATTGATTGTTATTGGAAAATATGATACTGGGTTATTGTGGCTACAGTGAGGGAGGTAGGAAGAGATAGAAGGGTATTTCAAGAATACTATTGGCCTGGTCAGAATGAGGCTGGCCCAGCACACAATTCTTGAAGCAAACTCTGGAGCACCAATCAAATAAATCCTCAGTTTCAGAAACTACAGGCAAGGTAAATGCAAGGATCCCTCTTGCTCAGGTATTGGAATCCCAGCCTCCCCAGACACTGTGGTGAACCTTTAATTTGCAAAGACTCTAACAACTTTGTTTAGAGTGTGGAGTTTTGCTCCTGAATCTCAGGGCAGTTTGTCACCCAAGACAGCTGACTCCTGAGGGCAGCCCTTTCCATAATGATGGCCATCTTTGCTGTGTTAGTATTGTTTGCTGTTAAAGAGTTCTCATTATCACTATCATCTGTCACAATAACACATACTTGGATGGCATGAAAACACTTGGTGATTTTATGTAGGGTGTTCTAATGCTTGGCTATCTGGACACCAAATGTTGTGTAAAAGAAAGGGACCGTTTTTAGCACCTTCCCAGTCGTCCCTTCCCTCAGTAGCTGACTTAGAATGATAGATTGCTCCCGGCAATATCGTTTCTGTGCTGCCCAATTAGACTTCATTTGAATTTGTCTAGGGAAATCTAATCTGATGAAAAGAGATGGCCCTGAGAACAGACATACTCTATTCACTATTTTCTCAGATCCTTGTAATAAAGCCATATTGTTTTATTGATTGATTCCTAAGAAGATGTAACTCACAGGAGGCAAATTTTTGGCTTGCTTTACATTGCGAGTCGGCAGAGCAGTCGAGGCACACACCACAGCAACTCCCACACTTTTGCATACAGAGTTTCAAGGAGAGCACAGCCACTCTTGAAAGAGCAAAAGCCAAAATAGAATATCCAGCTGTGGAAATGTCATGGATACGGAGTACGGCCCCTGTGTTCCATCCAGCATGCTCTCCGTATCTTTCTTGTGAATTTCTTTTGGAGCCTTAGCACGTCTATCCCCACCCTCCTAACATTTCTACTAAGTGTAAACCTGCTAGCAGAGAGCTAGCTATCCTGAGGATAATTCCTAATGGAGTAAGTATCCTGTGGACTTAATCAGTCCTGCCACTTGGTCTATTTATCCAATTAAGATAGTGTATCACTATCTTAAAATAATAAGGATTTTTATTATTATTATTAAAGTAGCAATGATATATTGTTAAAATATGATGTTTATTATCTAGAAATATAATCATATTGTAATTAAATGTGTAATTATATCTGGAATATAGGCTCTGGTAGAGATGAAAGTTAAATTCTGCCCTTGCCTCTCTGCCCACTATTTTAATTCCATATTCATATGTGATCATTTCATTTCCCTGGGGCTCTCCTATTTATTGACTACTTGGAATACTTATAAGGCTGTACATTAGTAATTATGATTCTATGCACACACGGTACTAAGCAGAGTGGATGATGAATTGTAACTAACTTGAAAATTGTAGGCTATCATCACCACTACTACTCACTAATGTCACAGTAAGCATTACCAAGGGTGGCGTGAGATTAATGTCTGACAAGGAGAGATTCAAATAATGGAGTCTATTCTTAATCATTAGGGATGTTCTAACGTTTCAACTCAAAGTCATTACTAATCAAACCCATTTACTTACACAACCCGGGTGCTATGCATGGATTTCCAGCAGCTGCTCTTACGAGCTGCCAATGAGCTGTATGAGGTTCAGAGTCCCAAAGGCTCCTGTTATAGGAGTGAGATGTGTCACCTGACTAAACATTTGAAACCTCATTCTCATTAATAATTACAAGACAATTCAGTGATAATGATGCTTTGTGTCTTCTTACCTACAGATAGGCTATTACTGTTATTTGCTTTAACTGCTACACATATTTTTAAAGTCGCATGTTTTCCTATGTTTATATATATATATATATATATATATATATATATATATACACACACATACTTAGGAATGCATAAAAGTATATGTGGGCACGTGATGATATTTCAGAACGATCATGTGTTGGGAAACACAGAATTATATCACAGCGCAAAATACATGATGTCCTTTTTGCATTGTGTATGTTGGAATAGTATAATGTAGAAAATCAATTTCAACATGAACGGTGTAATCGCTCTACTTAAATTGCTAGCTTTAAGGCTGTGGGATGATGTGGGGGAGTACCATATGATTTGCTTCACACCTACCCTGAACATAAAAAATTAATTGTGCACATCCATTCCCCGACGTGATGGCAAAAATCATGAAATCATGCATTGCTAAAAGAGCAGCTCATAGAGTAAAGCAATGATTGCAAGTGACCAGCTTCAAAGAACGCCTTTCCCGAGGTGACTTCAGGTGCTAAAGAGAAAGCACTGCCCTGGTTTTCTTTGATCTTCCCCGCAAAGGGGTAAGAAGGAGACGGAAGGAAAGTGGTGGGAGACAACAGCAAGTATAATTCAGTAACGTTTTCCATAGTGGGAACTCTTTATGCAAGGGAATTTTCATGGGAACTGACAACTTGGAACATCCTGGCACAGGGGGCTGGTCGCATATGTACGTGAGCTGTGTTATTCACAATCCCGTAACGACAGAACTAGAAGAGGTCTACATACAAGGGGAGAAGCAAGCAAGCTTCCAAACTAACCAAAATCCTGATGCATTAGAAACCACAAGGAATTAAAATAGTTTAACTGTGTTAACACAGGATCTTAAAATAGGACAAAATAAATTAAAATAATTGGAAAATGTATAGAAAACCGTTAAAATATTACTATTTATCACAAGCACATTAGGAATATTAATACAAAATAACATTTAAGGAAAACAATTGCTAAGCAATGTTTCCCAAACAAAAGACTTTACAGAACAAAGGTATTACTAGAAATAGCTTTGTGAAACCAGGAAAAACTGAAATTGTCATACACTAGCAATAAAAATATTATTCTATATATGCAAAAATGCTAGTGCTATATTGAAAGATATTCTGTTCACTATAATAACATAATTAATTTACAATGGATAAATAATTCCTTAATTTTGAAAAAACAGACCACATTTCTCAGCATCATTTATATTAACAAGAAATACAAATAAAAATAATAGTTTGCAAAGAAATGCTTAATGGTAAAGAAATTACTTTAAATTTGTTTGTTAAAAAGAAACTAATACCAATTCATTTAATGGAATTAAAAGAATAATTTAAGAATAACAATGCAATTTTTACAAATATATTCAACAAGCCAGATAAGGACACCAGGCAAAAAATGAAAAGCAATTATCTTCATAAGCAGTGTTAAAGTTACATTAAAAAAATTATATCAAACTTAATAAAACAAGTTATAATAAAGATTATTTATGATGGAAAAATTAATTCATAAAAAGGGATTCAAGGATATTCAAATAGTCACTTTAATTATGGAAGTATACTACATCAACAAAGGATACATGATCAACAGATGCACAAAAGGCACTTGAAAAATGCAATGCCACTTCATGTAAAAAACCTGAACTTATTAGAAAAGAAGAGGGTTATATCTTAATGGAGTAGACCATGCCCATTGGGGGGTGAAGACAGGGCTGGATGTGACCTGGGGGAACTAAAGTTGAGGAGGGGGCTTGGGGAGCTCTCTTGCTTGCAGCACGGGGCAGGAGGACATTGGGAGGCATCCTTGGGACCAGGAACCTGCTGGTGTTCATCTGTCTATGTTGTGAGTTATTTCTCCCTGAATAAACATCTATTTGGCTTATTTGTTTCTCCTGATCCTTATTAAACATCAATAAAAAGGCCAATATCATATTTACTATCGAAAGGTTAAAAGATTTCTGATACTTGGAGCAAGAAAAGATTGCTAATTTTCACTTTTACTCAACATAGTAATGCAGTCCTCAACACATCAGTCAGGCAAGAGAAAGGAAGAGAAGACATCCAGATGAGAAAGTGAAATTCAAATCATCACTTTTGCAAATATTATGATCAAATAGATCAAACCTCCAAAAACATTTTTACCCCAAAGA